CTCGCGCTCGCGGGGCTCCCCCGCGAAGGCGCCGCAGCCCGCGCGCGTCCTCGCGGGTGCAGCGCGCGAGCGCTCGCGCGCGGGGGGGGGGGGGGGCGCGCCGGGGGGCGGGGGGAGCGGGCAGGGAGCAGAGGAGGGGAGGGAGGGGGATTTGAGGGGGAAGGGGAGGGGGGGGGGGAGGGGAGGAGGGGGAGGGGGGAGGGGGGAGGAGGGGGGAGGAGGGGGCCAGGAGCAGAGGAGGGGAGGGAGGGGGATTTTGAGGGGAAGGGGAGGATGGGGGGAGGGGAGCAGGGGAGGATGGGGGGAGGAGGGAGGAGGGAGGAGGGATGTCTCGATCCTCGACCCTCGATCCTCAATCCAAAAATCTTGATCCTCGAACCTTCTGCTCCTACACATCCTCCTCCTCCTCCTGCTCCTCCTCCTACTCCTCCTGCTCCTCCTCCTCCTCTTCCTCCTCCGTCTCCTCCTCCTGCTTCTTCCTGCTCCTCCTCCTCGTCGTCGTCCTCCTCCTTCTCCTCCTCATCCGCCTCCACCTTCCCTAACACTCCTCCTCCTCCACCTCCTCCTCCACCTCCTCCTCCACCTCCTCCTTCCCTATCCCTCCCCCTCCCCCTCCACCTCCTCCCCCTCCTCCTCCTCCTCCTTCTCCTCCTCCTGCCCTGCATGCACAGCACTCCTTCGCCAGTGGCGGTGGGGGTAGGGGGGGGGCCGAGCCCGTTCGGCCGCGGCTCGGGCTCGATAAAGAGCTCCGCTCGGCGACCACATGGGGTCGCGCACCGAGCGGGCCGGGAACGCACGGTGAGGAACTTTGGCTTGAACCGTCGTGGGACGCACAGAGACATACCAGTACTGGACGTCCTCCTCGGAGGCGCGCGTCCGACCCCAACCTGTAGTAGACCCATCTTGTCGTGCGTCGCTTCCCGAGATGGTGCGGCCAGAACGCGCCCGCCGCGACGCATGTGCTGGGAGATTGACTTCTCGGTGCGCGCATCGCCCCCCGTGGGGGCCACGCTCATACGGTTCAAGCCTGCTGGGGCGACGCCGACGCCGCGGCGGCAGTCCCGGCGACGCGCGACGCTAGATGCCCCGCAGGCGGGCGGGCGTCTCGCTCCGCTCCGCGCAGCGCCGGCGCTCGGGGGCCACGGGACGTGGCTGCGCAGGCCTTGCGAGCGGATGGCGTGTCGCTCCGCTCCGCGGGGCGCTGGCGCTCGGGGATGACGTGGGTCGCGTGTCGCTTCGCAGAAGCCCTTGACCATAAGCCCTGGGAGAAGGCGCCCGGATCAGCGCAACGGCTGGAGAGCAGGGCAATCAAGAGGTGGCCCCACTCACGACCACCGCCGCCTGCAATCGGTACTGGCTGCAGAGGGCACCCGAGAGGACACGAGCACCTCTCGAGAGAAGCTCCTGCTGGGAGGCACAAGGATAGTCTAGTATGACGTGTCCTCCTCGGAAGCCTGCGTGAGACCCGAACATACGCATAGTGCAGCAATCCTGTAGTATGTAGTCCACCGAGCGGTATGGCCAGAGAGCGTCCGCCACGGAGCTTATGCTCTACACGTCGGTCGGAAAAAGTAGGTAAAAACATGAAGTAGGAAGGCGGATAAAGTGGATTGGATCCAGGGCCTCCCAGAGAATAACAAAACACAGCAAAACCATGTCGATTCTTGAAATAGGAAGGCGCCTGAAATAGATTGGGATCTGGAAATCCCGAAACACCTACTTTCAACGACCGGCGTGTACGATCTCTCGGTGCGCGCGTCGCCCCAGGAGGGCGCCCCAGGAGGAGGAGGAGGAGGAGGAGGAGGAGGAGGAGGAGGAGGACGAGGAGGAGGAGGAGGAGGAGGAGGAGGAGGAGGAGGAGGGAGGAGTGGCAAGCCTCCCCCTCGTCGTCCTCTCGCGGCCTCTTTCTGCCCCGGCGAGGCGCGCACCTCGCCTGTGGCCTGCGACACACGTAGACACATACATTTCGGGTGTTCGTGAACGGAAGGGGGGTGGGGGCAACAAACGCGGGGTGACGAAGCGCGCGAACCCGCCTTGCGTCCCTGAAGGGGCTCCAGGACACACAAATCAACACACACGAATCAACCTATTCCCCCAAAAGTTCCCTTGGGCTCCAGGACATACAAACAAATACACACGAATCAACCTATTCCCCAAAAAGTTCCCGTATGTTGTGGGTCTTTGTCTTCCCCCCACTTCCCATATTTTCCAATGTTTTCTGGGGAATCGACGACTCATTGTGTCTGTGCTTTTTTCCCTCCCGAATCCTGTGGGGCCGCGGTGGCAGTCTAGGGGGCAGCTCAGGAGGGCCCCTCCTGTAGGGGCCACCGCCCCGCAGTCCTCGGTCCCCGCCTCGCCATCGCTCGGGCGTCCCCTCCCCCGAGCGCTGTGCGGTCTCGCGCGCGTGACTGCTTGCCCGAGGACCCAGACGGCCCCTCGCCGACAAAAAAAACGCGTCCCAGCGCTGCCGCGCCACCCCCCGCGCTTGTGGCCCCCCCGCTGCCGTCCGCCCGAGAAAACGCCGCGCGCTCCCTGCGCGGCCTCCAGCATTGACATGCAGCCAGGGGGGGCGGTCGGGGGAGGGGGCGGCAAGAAAAAATAGACACTTTTTCTCGGGAGCGGCAAGATGGGGGGGTGCAAATCACGACCGGCGGCATGTGCGCGGCCCAGTGGAGGGGCCAGGGACGTAATGAAATCAGAAGAGGCGCCATGAAATCTGGGGAAATATCATGGCCCGCGCCATGAAATCCCCCTCCCCCTAGTCATCACCCCCCTCTTTTCCGCTCCCGATTTTCACAAGCACAAGAGGAGCCACGTGCAAATAAAGGAAAACGACGACGAAGAGACGACCGACCGGGGAGGCACGTGGGGGGGGGGTAAGGGGGAAGGGCGCGCCGCTCGCCTGGGCCTTCAGAGGGCCCTCAGGGCACGCCACGAAAATATATACACAGAAACCTCCGACGAACTCTGCGATAGATCGAGAAACATATATACACAGAAACCTCCGAGAAATATATATATATATATATATATATATATATATATAATATATATATATATATATATATACACGACACGAAATACATACACTGAAAACCTCCGAGAACCCTCCAGGGAGGGCGGCGGTGTAGGTAGTCGATGGCTCTGAGTGGTGACCTGTACCCCGCCACCGGCGCCATGAGGCCCAGGCACAATCCACTGGGTGGCTGGGCATATGTTTTGGGTGGCGGAAGAGGGCAGGGAGAGAGAGCGGCGAGGCATGGCGGAAGCGCAGCAGCAAGAGGCGACGGAACGTTCCTAGCGATTTCGTGGGCTACACGAAAGGGTGACCCTGGGCAAGGGTGACCTCTGGTGCGCGGCTTCCGGGGGCAAACCCGAGCGCGCGAGCCACCACTGGCGCAATGCGCTCAGCGATCGGGTGTGCTGCATTGGAGCCACACCAAAGGCCACTCCCTCGAAAGGTCGTTCTCACGTCTAGTCGACTTCGGGCCTCCCAGGGGGCCCTCGCCGGGACCCGGGGCGCCGCCAGAAGAGACGGCTCGGGAGGCAAGGTCGAGAACCCTGGGGGCCAGTGTCGAGAGGCCGTCGAGCCGTCAGGGAGTCACGTGACGGGGAGACGGGCGGAAGGGACCTTGTAGGCTTCCTGCCCTTCCGGGGCCTCGCGGGGGGGTGGGGTCCCGTCGCTGCCACGGCCGGCTCCGCCTGGACACCCGAAGGTCAGGGAGTGCTCCAGGGCGGGCCCTGGGGACGCTCTCCGAAGGGCGAAGGCGAAGGGGAGAAGGCAGGAGAAAGAGGGAGGTAGAAGAGAAGGTATGTCTGGGGGGTGCCTGGAGTTTCTGGAGGTCTGGGGTGATACAACGAGGTGTCCTGGAGGTGTCGGGAGCTCCAGGAGGCTTGGGGAAGGAGGTAGGAACGGTTGCGGATGCTGGGGAGGGATGGCACTCGAAGAGTCCTCCTCCTACTCCTCCTTCCCCTCCTGTTTCTATCCGTTCGTCGTCGTCCTCGTCGTTGTCGTCCTTCTCCTCCTCCTCCTCATCCTGTTCATTCCTTCTCATTCTGATTGTCACCCCATTACTCCGTGGAATCAAATGCAGAAACAATAAACAGAACCTTGGATGCTCGAGAGGGGAAGGGGTGTTCAGAGACGACAAAGAAGCACGTGAACGAAAATACGTCGAATGCATGGAAAAGAATATACGGATACACGGGACGGAGAGGATACGGGGAAAAGACCGTGATAAGGGGAAAAGGAGACAGGAAGGACAAGAAATAACGGAAGCGGGGAAAACCAAGGGGACGTGTAGGAAGAGAAATGGGCAACATGGAGCACAACAAAATGAGTAAGGTAAGGAAAGTGAGCCTGAGACAGAGACGTCTGTACACGATGTATATACGCACAAGTGAACGCACACACTTGGCAACATGCATCGGAACAGACAAATCTATAGTAGGCAGTGAGTGAGAGAGGGGGCTGCACACATTATACATGAGCATGTACATGTTTCACGTGTGATTACAACTACATACGCGATGCGTTTGCAAATGGGCAAACATTGACCAAAAGAGGGGGAGAGAGAGAGAGAGAGAACACCAATGCTGGTGTATATGTTGGTACATCTCTATACCTGTGTATATATATATATATATGTATGTACAGATATATACATGCAAATATCGGAGTGCGGGCAGAAGCGCCTTCGATACACCTTCCCTGGGTGCGTGCCTGAAGGGGGCTTCCGCGGAGAGGATGGTTGTCGATGATGTTCTGTGTGTTGTTGACATGTTGTTGTCGCCGTCTTCGCCCGCGACTCGCCCGCGACCTGCCCGCGACGACACGCGATCCGCCCGCAACTCGCTCGCCAACCACCCGCGACCCACCCTCGACCCGCACGCGACCCAATCGAGACCCACACGCGACCATCCCACGTTGCTTTGACGAAAAACATTCGGCGCCTGTGGTGGGCCCGTTGCGTAATGCGTGCGTACGAAAGACGGCGCCTGCTGCGTTCTTTCTCGGAGCCGCTGCCGACGACCCCTCACTCGTCTCCG